CTCCACAGACAAGAAACTGAGGTCCAAATGACTTGCCTAAGGTTATCCAGCAAGTCATGAGCAGAACTAGAATGAACTTGGGTCTCGTGACTCTGAGGTCCTGTGAGAAGTTTCTGCAGGGACCGAAGTAGGACTTGAGCCTGGCTCCAAGCCCTGAGGCTTGCTGGGGCATTTGTCCATCAGGGGTGAGGTGGATGGTGGACAGCAACATGCAAAAGTCAGCCTGTCCATCTGCAGACATTCACAGAGCACTCCGCAAGGTTCAGGACCAGGTGATCATGGTCTCACACATCTCCAGCCTCCAAATAGACCCTCGTGTCCACACAGTGTGGTGAGTGCAGTGGGACAGGGGGCACCTGGCCTGAGTTGAGGAAAGGAGGGAGCTGGCCAAGGAGGGCTGCTCAGGGGAAGTGGCCCTCGAGCTGGATCTGCAAGGATGAGCTAGACAGGGACAAGAGGTGGAAGAACATCTTGGGTCAGGGGAGTAGCAGTTGTGAAGGCGCAGAGGTAAGGGGAAGTAAGCACGGGATCTCCTTTGTTCTGCCTCCCGGAGCAGCCAGGTCTCTGCGTTGAGTCACTTAGCCTCACACCACGATACTCTCCTCTCCAGGTCCGCACCTGTCCCTGTCTCCAGCAGCGCCAACATCATCGTCCCAGGCTGCTGGGTGCACTTACTGCCTTCAGTGGCAGCAGGCTGACTTGTCAGGCTCTCTGGGAAGAGGCCTCGATGCCCTCTGCCTGTGACATGCTTCTGACAACAGGCTCTGCCTCTGTTTCAGAATCTCGGCGAAGGAGCATCTTTGAATACCACCGCATAGAGCTGGACCCCAGCAAGATCACCAGCATGTCGGCCGTGGAGTTCACCCCATTGCCGAGTAAGTAGGGGTCATTCCACCATCTCGGAAAGAGCTCTGGAGTCAAGCAGACGGGCATCAGGTCCCAGGCCCATGGCTGACTCCTGTTTTGTGCAGCCATCTAACTTTTCAGGGCCTCCATCTCTCTTTTGTAACCCGGGCCTGATGCCACCCCTCTCCCAGAGATAGAGTAAGGGTGAGAACAACCTAGGTGGAGTTAAGCACGTTGGCCACAGCTCTGACACTGACGGGTCCATTCCAGGCCTGGGGTGGGGGTGAGGGCTTGATCTAGGACAGCTGTTATTATTCCCACATAACTGAAACCCAGGAAAGCTGTACCTCTGAGAACACGTAGACTGAGCCCCCAGAAAAGGTGATCCAGGAACTGGATGGGCCCCAGTCTGTCACTGTATTCTCCTTACAGGAGGTGATGGAAGGATTTAGCAGGTGGCCTCCATAAATCATGGGGCCCTGGCCCTCTGTACCCCACTCACCCACGCTGAAGGCAGCCATGGCCGAGGCCCCACCTGCTGTTGTGGAGCCCACAGGATCCACGGTGGATGCTCTTCGGGATGGGGCTGGGACAGCTGAGAACGCGGGAAAGAGGACAAGGAGGACAGCATCATCCTTCTTGTTTTTTTAGTTTTTTTTTTTTTTTTGAGACAGAGTCTCACTCTGTTGCCGAGGCTGGAGTGCAGTGGTGTGATCTCAGCTCACTGCAACCTCTACCTCCCAAGTTCAAGTGATTCTCCTGCCTCAGCCTCCCAAGTGGCTGGGACTACAGGTACCCGCCACCACGCCTGGCTAATTTTTTGTATTTTTAGTAGAGATGGGGTTTCACCATGTTAGCCAGGATGGTCTCGATCTCCTGACCTCGTGATCTGCCTGTCTCGGCCTCCCAAAGTGCTGGGATTACAGGCTTGAGCCACCGCGCCCAGCGGCTGGAGTCTTTTAAGGAGCCTTCAAAGTCACGGGGAGAGGCAAGGGCAGGGTTCCCTACTGGATGCAGCTGGCGAAGGATGGGTAATGCTATCAAGGCTGTGATTTGGGTCCCTGGGAGGCCAGATAAAGAGAAAACTCTCTGCATCCCCTGGCTTCTCCCTTGCCATTTGGGTGAGGGAAGGATTTGTCCAGGTTACTTCGGAGGGGTGAGGGGCTTATCTCCAAGCTGTCGTATTCTGTGGCTGGTCCCTCCTGGTCCCTCTTCTAGGAAAGACCTATAAAAAAGTGGCCTGGGGTGGAACTGAGAACTGAGGCAGGGGCAGGGGAAACCCACAGTGAGACCTCAAGCCTAAGAGCTTGAACTCTATGCTCAAACAGACCTTGGTTCAAACCCAGACCTCTCACTCTCAGCTCCACGACTCTCTCCAAGCTTCACTTCCCTGCTCCATAAAATGAGGATAACAAGAGCACTTATATATTGATTCAACATACCATGTGCCAGGCACTGTTCCAGACCCCCTGGATACACAGGGAACAGAACAGCCAGAGAGTGCTCATCCTCCTGCACAGGGCAGCCCCTGCTTCTTTCCTGCCCGTGGCTCTTTCCATCCACTCTCCCAGGGCCTTCAACATCATGGCAGACAAAAGGACACAGTGCCACCCACTGCCAGTCCCTCCCAGAGTGACTGAAGGTGGTCACACTGTGCCCACACAGCCTCTCTCCCACTTACCAAGGGCTGGTTCCCAGCTGCCATCTTGCTGGGGCTCCATGTCATGTACATTGGCTCCTGAGTTAATGGATCGCATGAGAACTCACGCAGGAAGAAACGCATGCAATGTTGATCAAATGAGTGGTCGTTTTCTGTTGCTAGTTGTCACTCTTGTGGCTATCAAGGTGTTCTGTTGCTTATAAGATAAGCCCTTCTGCACACAGTTGTTCTAGGTGAGTGCCTGTCTCTCTTTGCAGTAAAATATATGGTCTTTGTGACAGCTACTTGCCACTCAGAGGTCATCTGGTTCATTAAACTGAGTAGCACTGGATTGCAAGTGAACAGCTCTTAAATCCAGCCCCCATGCCTACTGCGCCCCCTGCCCTGCTGCTCCCCTGCCTGACCTGTGCCAGAAGGGTTCACGTACCCTTCAGCAACCTGGTCCCACTAATCTCTCTGCTCTCTGGCTCTGTCCTGCCCAGGCTGGGCCCCAGATGTCGCTCCCTCTTCATTCTTACTAATTCCAGCCCCTTCGCTCTACACAGCCTGGTAGCAGTTCTGGCTGCTGCTGGGACCATGTCTGGGCCGTTCTCCTCCTGGCTCTGCACACAGGACCTTTCTGCCTTGACTTCTTCTCCCCCAGGAGAGCTGTTCTCTCCCCATGGGCCGAACATCAGGAGTGGGCAGTGAGTGCCCCCAGCAAGCACTGGGGGGCAACCAGAGCATCTTTTAAAACAATAACTGTTGTTGTACATATTTCAGGTATACAACATGATGCTATGGGATGCATATAGACAGTGAGAAGGTTACCATGATGAAGCAATTAGCATATCCATCATCTCACAGTTACCTAGATTTTTTGTTCTTGTGGCAAGAGCATCTAAAATCTACTCATTTAGCATGAACTCCACATACAGTACAATTTTATTACTACAGTCCTCATGTTATACAGTAGATTCTAGCCTTGTTCATCCTACATACCTGCTACTTTGTATCCTCTGACCTTTAAAAAATGCCTTTCAACCCTTTGTGGGATACACACCTGGAAGTAGCCGGGTGTGGTGGCGGGCACCTGTAATCCCAGCTACTCCGGAGGCCGAGGCAGGAGAATCGCTTACAGCACCTTGTGATTTGCCTTCATAGACCTCATGACAATTCTAATTCTGTAGTGATTTTTGATTATCTGTTTAGCATCTGTCTCCCCATATGAGTCTAAGCCCTAAGAAGGCAGGGACTAGGTCTCACTGCTGAATCCCCAGCACCCAGTTTAGGGCCTGACCTTCTGGTGAGAAGGAAGGAAGCTAGGGAGGGAGGAAATGAGGGAGGGAGGGAGGGAGCAAGGGAGGGAGGGACAGAAGAAGGAAAAAAGGGAGGGAGGGAGGGAGGGCGGGGAGGCTGAGGCAAGAGGATTGCTTGAGCCCAGGAGTTTGAGGCTATAGTGAGCCATGATCAGGTCATTGCATGCCAGCCTGGGCAACACAGCGAGACCTCATCCCTTAAAACAAAAAAAAAAAAAAAAAAAAGAAAAGAGAAAAAAAAAAGAAGCTAGGAATTGGGGCTGGTCTGGACCAAGGGAAGTGGCATTAATGACCTCAAAGGTCCCCTTGAAGTCAGGGGCCCCACAGTTCTGTAAATACCAGGAATTCAGAGTTGCACCCTTTGGAGCCCATGGAGAGGCTGAGTGCTGAGCGGCCACTGCCTTCTCTCTTGCAGCCTGCCTACAGCATAGGAGCTGTGACGCCTGCCTGTCCTCGGACCTGTCCTTCAACTGCAGCTGGTGCCATGTCCTCCAGAGGTTTGTGCCCAGGGTTACCCACTGACTGCTACTGGCCGAACATGGATGAGGGGAAGAGGGTGGCACGGCCCCACTCCCGGCCTCAATGCCCACAGTCGGCCAACATTAGAGTATCTCTGGCCAGTGCCACTCTGATTCTTAGGACAAGAATATGGCCTGGGGGCTTCTGGAAGATCATTCAGGGATTCCAGCTGCTCGGGCTTCCTCCTCACACCCAGGAGGGGAGGGTTCATCCTGGAACAGGGCTTCTCAGAGTGGTCCACAGCTGTGGGCATCAGACCTTGGGCTCCAGTTAAACATGCAGATTCCTGGGACCCATCCCAGACCCTCTGTATCAGGCTCTCTGGGAGAGAACCCAGGAAGCTGCATTTTAACATCATGCCTCATCTGTAAACAAGTGTCAGAACTGCCAGTTCACAGACAAAGTCTGGTCCAAAGACCCATGACCCCAAAACACCACCTCAAGATATTTCTTGGGCTGCAAGGGATTTTTCTGAAGACCACAGGCATCCATGGAAAGTTGGGGGAGCTAAAAAGCTGTGTTTGCTTGCTTTTAGAAGCTCAGAAAGTTCTGGGTGAGATTCAGTTTCAGTGATAAAGTTCTTAAATCCATCTCCACTTCTACTCCTTGTTCTGAAATCATTTCCTCACAGATTAGACTCAGAATTCAAGCTCTGTTCCCTGTCCAAGATAAATAAATGACAGGAGGAGGGGGAAGAAAAAGATTTCCTTGGGGACTAGAGTTCTCATGAGAGTGGGAAGCCCTATGAACTCCCAGAGCTTTTAAGGCAATCTCAAAAATTGCTAAATTATAGTCTCTGAGTTCCCGTGCAGCTGTGGTGCTGTTCCTTTCCAATGCTCCTTTCCAGTGCTTGCTTGCTTGCTTTTTTTTTTTTTTTTTTTGAAACAGAGTTTTGCTCTTGTTGCCCAGGCTGGAGTGCAATGGTGCAATCTCGGCTCACTGCAACCTTCACCTCCCGGGTTCAAGTGATTCTCCTGCCTCAGCCTTCTGAGTAGCTGGGATTACAGGCACACACTGCCACACCCAGCTAAATTTTTTGTATTTTTTTAGTAGAGACGGGGTTTTGCCATGTTGGCCAGGCTTGTCTCAAACACCTGACCTCAGGTAATCCACCTGTCTCGGCCTTCCAAAGTGTTGGGATTACGGGCGTGAACTGCTGCCCCTGGTCCCAGTGATTTCCTATGCCTCCACACCATGGCCCACTCTGGAGTCTAAGGGTAACATTAATTCCAGGATTCCTTTGCTCCTTTCCAATATCCTGCTGCAAGTGTAGAAGTTCTCGCCTTTATAGGCAGCCTGCCTAGCACACGGACACGGCTCTGGGCCCTGAGGGGATGGGGTGTGTCCATCAGGTCTCCCAGGTGTTCTTCCCACCAGCTGTGCTTTTATTCACTCTCTTGGGGGCCTCAGATTGTTTACCCTGTAAAATGGGCTGGGGTCATGTGATTCAGGAAGATGTGGGAACAAACACACTGTTATTTAAACTCCTCGAACAGTTTTTGTTTTGTTTTGTTTTGTTTTGTTTTGTTTTGTTTTGAGACAGGGTCTTGCTCTGTCATCCAGGCTGGGGTGCAGTGGTGCAATCACAGCTCACTGTGGCCTCAACCTCCTGGCTCAAGCAATCCTCCTGCCTCAGTCTCCCCTGTAGTTGAAACCACAGGTGCACACCACCACATCCGGCCATTTTTCTAATATTTTGTAGAGATGGGATCTCACTTTGTTAGCCAAGCTGGTCTTGAACTCCTGGGTTCATGTGATCTGTCCTCCTTGGCCTCCCAAAATGCTGGGATTACAGGTGTGAGTCACCGCACCCAGGCTATCAAGAAGCATTTTTACAAAGCATTCAGCGTCCTTCGCATGATACTCACAGAGCCTCAGAAAGAATGCCTAAGATAGACCCCAGGTTGGTTCTTCCTGGAGCAGAGCATTGCAGAGTAGTCTGCAGACTGTGAGGCTCTCCTTAGACCTGGAGGGCTTGTAAAATGCAGATTCCTGGGCCCCATCCCACTGAATATGATCCTCTGGGACCAGGATCCCAGGAATCTGATGTTTGAAGTTGTCTCTCTTGTACCTTTCAAATTTGAGAACCATGGTCTCAGCGATGGAGAGATGGCCTCAGATGAGCCCTGGGATCCTGGGGCTGCCTGCCACCACATGACTCAGCTTTCACAAGCGCTGAGCCATGAGAACTGCAAAATGGGTCAGATGACAGCCAGACCCTCCCATCAATGCAAACCCCATTTCAAGCATACGCCCAAATTCAGAGACCATGAGTTTAATGAGGGTTGGGCCCTCCTCAACATTAGGAGGTTGGTCAGGCTGGGGGAAGGGCAAGGCCTCTGATTGTGTGCATCTGCAGGGGTTGTGTCAGCAGAGAGGAGCACAGAGAAACTCCACCCCAGGGAGCACGGCTGGTGTGAGTTGGAAACCATCCCATCCCCAGGCGCCCCGTGGGCCTGGGCTCACTCCTGCACACTGTCCTTTCTTACAAGCTCTCTGAAGCCTCAGCTGCAACTGAGAGCTGAACCCAGGTCCCCAAAAACCCGGAGGGCAGGGCCAGCTGACATGGTCTGTCTGGCAACAGCGGCAGTCAGTCCCCGCATGGTTCTCTGCTCCTCTCCCTCCACCCAGTCTGCCTTTCACAGCCTCCCAGAGCTTTCCTCCTTGCTCTTGGGCTGGAATGGATTTAAACAATTTCATCTCTCATGGCAGGTGCCCCCGCCCCCTGCCATGGCCCAGTCTGGAGTCTAAGGGTAACGTTAATTCCAGGATTAGCTCCAGAAATGGGGGTCACAAACCCATACCAAAGGCTCAATCTTTTCAAGAATCAGTTAGCATGGTCTAAAAGAACATTCTTTTTGTTTGTTTGTTTGTTTGTTTGTTTGTTTGTTTTTAAGAGACAGGGTCTTGCTCTGTCACCCAGGCTGGAGTGCAGTGGTGCCATCATAGCTCACTATAGCCTTAAATTCCTGGGCTCCAGCAATCCTCCTGCCTCAGCCTCTCAAAACGCTGGGATTACAGGCATGAGCCACCACACCCACACTAAAAGAAACTTTAGTTCTCAGCCTCCAATAGCCTTCCTAATCCTCCATCCCCCAAAGTAGTGGGCATAGAGGGCCTGACAGAAGGAGAGTGTGGCTGGCTCAGTTCAGCCATCCCTGCTGCAGGAGGAGCAGCTCAGAGCCCAGAGGCATCTGTAGAAGGAAAGACTGACAGCTCTTGGCAAGCCCTGGCCCTTGGCCTCACCGAACTTCAGTGGGTGCTGGTGCAGTTAACCTGCTGAGAGTTCCTTCTCGGCACTGGTGGTTCATGATGTTATTCTTCCTATGCAGATGTCCCTGGGCTTCAGTAGGGCTTGGAGGGTTCCCCTAGCACCAAAGAGTAAAAAACAAAAAGTTGGGAATGATCCATGGAGAGCATTCTCTGGTGCATCATCATGCCCCCATCCTTTCCCTACAGGGGTGCTTGGTGTCTTCCACCCAGCTGAGCTGCCCAATGCCCTCTCTGGAGACCCTTGTCAGCCAGTTGTAAATCTCTCCCAGCCTCCGGCAAGATCATTTCTGCCCTTGAATGATCACCTGGGAGGTGTTGACTAAATCTGCTGATGCCTACCTTTAGCCCCACTCTCCTTCCCAAGGTTAGGCCCCTCAATAACCAGGATGAAAACACGTATGTGAATTGCCTGGATTCTCAGCAGTGTCATGGCAGCTCACAGTCAAGACGACCTTGAGGATCACTGGAGCTCATGCAGTCCTGCTAGCCCCTACACCTACTCACGTGGGCAGATGAGGCCTTGGTCCTGGGGAGCTGGGTCAGAAGGAAGGCAGGGATGCCACAAATACCTTCATCTTCCAGGGAAGTAGAGGGAACAGGAGTGCCTGACTACCTCAGCCTGGGGACCTTAGCTCCTCTTCTCACTATCAGCAGAGAGTTGTTACTGAACAGTGAAAGGGGAGGGCTTCTTTGTCGATCCCATCATACCTCTGACCTTTTGGTCCTCCTGCAGATGCTCCAGTGGCTTTGACCGCTATCGCCAGGAATGGATGGACTATGGCTGTGCACAGGAGGTGAGAAGCATAAGTATCGGCTGCAATTCCTGTGCCAGGTGGTAGGGAATAGGAGGGAAGCCGGTAGAGCCCGCTCCTGCAAACTCCTCTCAAGGTGGCATTAGCTCTTGGCAATATCCTCCCCTCTATCTGAGATTTCTTTTCCAGACTGCCCTGAGACAATGAGACCCACTTTGGAAGGTTTCAGAGGGCTCTGTGGGTCTTTGAGGCGAGCATTCTGATGCCTTGGCCTTAAGTGGGCAGCTCTCAAGGAATTCTTTTGGTGCATGCAGAGGGGATGTTAGGCATGGCCTCAGCCACTGCTGGCTCCTCTGGGAGACTGTGCACCTGCTGACGTTAATGACGCACCTGCTGAGCCTCTGGTCCTCTGGCTTTTGAGGAAGGCAGTCATTCTGGAAGTAAGGAGGGTGGTTCCGGGCATCTCCTTTTTAGAATCCCATCCAGGTTCCTTCTCGCTGCAAGAATTTTCCAGTACACTCAACACTGATTCTGGATGGAAAGCATCCTATTCTCACACCATAGACTAACACAGATGAGTCTATTCATCTGTGCCCTCTTTTTTTTTTGCCCCCTCCCTTTATCTCTTCTTGCAAAGCAAGCATGCTGCATGTGCCAAGCATGTGACTGTGAGCTGCCCTACCCTCGCTCTTATTTAGGCTGACCCAGAAGCTGGGGCCATTGCCCCCATTGATCAGAGGGGAAAATGGGGGCTCAGAGAAGTTTAATGAATTGGCCTGCATCTTGCAGCTAGAAGGTGATGGGCCCACCATTTAAATATCAACTCTCCAGACTCCATGGCCATGCACTCACCACGGTCTATTTATTAGTCTGAGTCTGGGCTTAAAAAAAAAATCTTGTCCAGCCGCCTACTTCTGAAGTTAGCTGTTGGTGACCGTTCAGATTTGCTCTATTTATTTGAGATTGGCATCTCAGCTCCTTCCTTGAGGAAGGATTTGAAGCAGCTGACAGATAAATTGCCCTGTAAGATAAGATGCTTTCAGGATGAAGGGAAAGGTGTAAATGCATTCAGGACACAGCACTGGCTCTCTCCTGCAGGCAGAGGGCAGGACGTGCGAGGACTTCCAGGATGAGTACCACAACTCAGCCTCCCCTGACACTCCCTTCAGCCCCTATGATGGAGACCTCACCACTACCTCCTCCTCCCTCTTCATCGACAGCCTCACCACAGAAGGTAAGTCCTGAGCCCAGGTGGGGAGCAGAGAGGAGGCCAGGAAGGAGAGCTACCCCTCTGGGGCTCCCCCTCTCTCTCCCTGACAGCGATGATCTTATGGGATGGGAACTGCCCCATCCTTTTATAGCTAAGGGGGCCTGAGGTTCAGACAGTTTAGGTCACTTGCTGGTGAGAAGCAGAGGCAGATTCAGAACTCGAACTCTACTCCTAGGCTCTAACCACTGTGCTGGCCCACATCAGGGCTACAGACAGAATTCACTGTGAAGAGGGGAAAAATTAATATCCCAGCCCAGTGCCAGGTATTTTATATAACTTATCTCCGCTAATCTTAATAGCAGTCCTCACAGAACCTGAAAAGGCTCATCCCTGTAGCAGATATGAACTCAATCCATACACTCAGGTGTGAGAGAAAGGCTGCCTTGTTTTTCTGTAAGTTCCCCCAGCTTCTCACTTTCAGGCCCTGGAGTGATGGATGGGGAATTCCACCTCAGCTGTCCATCCACCCTGACTATTCAGGTCTGGCCGTCCAGGGGCTTCCCTGCTACCTGGAGGCCTGGGGGTCTTGGTTGAAGCTGCCAGAGGCCCATCCCCCTGAATGCACCAGGCAGTGTCCCAGGAAGCCTTGTGCAGGCTCCTCTGGTCCCAGGCCTCAAATCTCTTCCCTTTCTCCCATGCCCCCTCCAGGATTCTGTAGCTATGTCTGAGACATTCCTCTCTTTTATCCTTTTTCAATACCCTGCATCGCAGCCAGGCACAGTGGCTCACACCTGTAATCCCAGCACTTTGGGAGGCTGAGGTGGGCGAATCACTGGGTTCGAGACCAGCCTGGCCAACATGGTAAAACCCCGTCTCTACTAAATATATAAAAATTGGCCGGGTGCGGTGACTCACGCTTGTAATCCCAGCACTTTGGGAGGCCGAGGTGGGCGGATCATGAGGTCAGGAGTTTGAGACCAGACTGGCCAACACAGTGAAACCCCATCTCTACTAAAAATACAAAAATTAACTGAGCGTGGTGGTGGGCGCCTGTAGTCCCAGCTACTCGGGAGGGTGAGACAGGAGAATTGCTTGAACCTGGGAGGTAGAGGTTGCAGTGAGCCAAGATCATGCCACTGCACTCCAGCCTGGGTGGCAGGGTAAGACCCTGTCTCAAAACAAAACAAAACCCCGCATCCAGCTTTGAAAGCCCCGTCCCTTTAGGCTAAGACTGAAAGACTTGTGGGTTCTTTATAGCCTCCCCTGAACCAAATATCTGCTTGAAAGGAATAATGATAAGGAAAGGAAAGAAGAAAAAAGTTAATATTTTAAAACATTATTCAGCCACTATTTTCTTCCCCCTCTAACCCTATGTTAGGTTTTTTTTTTTTTTTTTTTTTTTTTTTTTTT